TACAAAGCCCGTCCGTCCCGAGGCGCATGGCTCCAAAAAAGTCATGTGTTCGACAGCTCGACGTCGCCGTCGCCGTCCGCCGGTCACGCTGACGCCACGCGCACGCACGCCTCTCCTCCGCCGCTCCGCGAGCTGCGTGCGTCTGCCTTGTGCCAGCGTCGCGTCAGCACCATGGTTACCGGCGGTCGCGGGTTTTGATCTCGATAACTGTCCTGTCACCTCGCTGTTATTAAGGCCTCTGAAGTTACCGGATGGTCAAAAAGTTAAAATGTTGCCTTGACGTGAAAACCAACGGTCGTGCGTGTCGTGGCGTCGCCAGGGTTTTTTGTTCTTCCAAGCCACGGCTCCATGATTGTCATCGGCTGGTTCCTGGTTCATCCACGGCTCTTGAGTGACGGGAGATATTTTCTGAGGAAATTGGTGAAATTCCTCTCTTTTTTTACCGTAGCATTTTTTACACAAAATCACAACTTCTGTCCTAATGATCCATATGACATCCAAAACCACAATTTGATTGCTAAACTCACTGGCTGAGCCCACTTGTCAGGCTAGAAAAAGCCAGCACGTTAACCCCTCCGCCTCGGGGCTAAGACATCCATGTAATGACTAGGAAAAAAATCACAAATTAAAACATGGTAAAACGCACCGAACGATATTGTTGACGGTGGCAAAAAAATATTGACGATAAATACTAGTAATTGTTTCGATGACGTCTCTAACTATCCGACTCGTTCATTGGGCTTAGTCGGCAAAAAAAGCAAGGTGTCACGCGAGCACGTTGACTTGGTCTTGCTCTTTCTCCTTCCTCATTTATTACTCGATCCTTCATCCCCACATGAACAGCCGCGCAAGATCCGACGCCCCCGACAACCTCCTTCCTCCTTCTTGCCTCCACCCCCGCCACCCCACCACCACCTGCTTCGCCCCCTTCTCCATAAACGGTGTTATTCCTCCTTCACCGACCACGTCACCTCGTCCCTCCATCACCTGCAGAGCTCCAGTTGCTTGGTCATCTCCCCACATTTCCACCAGCGAGATCCCGGGTCCAGCGGTCGGATCCGCATCACCAACTG